CCCCCCCCCCACCCCACACACACACGCACACAGGTCGGCGACACTATCGTGGTAACCAACAAGTCGACTGGAGACGACGGCTGGTGGGAGGGCTACCTCAAGTCCGACCCCACCTGCAAGGTCGGCTACTTTCCCGAGAACTACGCCCTCCTTCCTGATGCCGTGCCTGCTGTGTCGGAGCCGGCCACCGCCGCACGCGTCTCCACCGACGATCCCGATGGCACCCTCGCCGCAGCCCTCGACCGGCTCGATCCCGCTACGGCTGCAGACCGCAGGCCGATTGCTACGCCGGAGCCCATGACTATCCCGTCTCTTGTCGAGTTTGGCGAGCTCAACGAGGCCATGGACGCCCATGTGGCCGACGCCCTGGCGTCACCGACGCTGTCGTCGCCACCGGCCTCCACCTCCCCCGCCACCTCCCCCGCCACCGCCTCCACCCCCGCCCCTGTCGCTACCGAGCTGTCTTTGCAGGACGAGCCGTCGTCTTCGGGCCACTGCGCCATCGACGCTCGCTACGAGTGGCGCGAGGTCGAGCCGTACTTTGAGATCGAGGTCGATGTTGCGTTGGCACGCGGCTCCAAGTTTGGTGGTCTCAAGAAGTTCACCTCGTACAGCATACGGACGCCAGCCAAGGGCTGGGCCGTCTTGCATCGCTACAAGCACTTCCACTGGCTTCGCGAGCGGCTTGTCGCCAAGTACGCCGGCATCGCCATTCCTGAAATCCCATCCAAGCAGCTGACCGGGCGGTTCAAGGACAACATCGTGTCGTACAGGCGGCATTTTCTCGCCGTCTTTCTCAACGCGGTCGCTCGCCATCCGGTTCTCCGCTCGGCCCCGGTCTTCCACCACTTTCTCTCGGTCGACTCGACGTCTGAGGGCGAGTGGAAGCAGGGTAAGCGCGCCGCCGAGCGCGACGATGTCCAGGGCAAGGCCTTCCTTTCTGCTGTCTCTGCCGCCGCCACGCCATCGCTTTCGTCTGGCGAAGAGGTCGACCAGGCCCAGGACTTTGTCCGCGCCATGCCCAACCATGCCAAGCACTGGACGGCCCTTGTCGATGTCATGAACGCGTCGGCCAAGAAGCGACTTGAGCTTGTCGAGTCGACTGAGGAGCTGTGGCAGGGCTTCTCGCAGATGTCTGGCTCTACCGGCGATCCGTTCTGCTGGCGCGCAGAGTGTGATGAGTGCTCGTCGGCTACAGGCTGTCTTGGCGCCGTATCAGCCACTCTCCAGACCCAAGCCCAGCTCCAGCTGGAGGCCTCGCTCGCCGAGTCGGACCTTGCCAACTGCTTCCAGTCCTCACGCGATGCGCTCGGCGTCACCCTCGCCGCCGTCAAAACCGAGGTCTCCTCGCGCACCGCCGCTGTGGCCAAGAACGCCAAGCTGCAGGCAGCCTCGCAACCTGTTCCCGAGGGCTCAGTCGAGGCAGCACAGGCCCACCTCGCCGTTGCCGTCGCTGAACTCAACCACTTTCATGCCACCCGCGCCATTGACAACAAGCTCGCTCTCCTCGCCTACGCCCGCACCCAGGCTGCACTCCACGCCCGCGCGGCAGCCTCCTGGACCGCCCTCGCCGGTGAGCTCGATGCCTACCCGGTCGACCAAGCTGCGTACGACATCGAGTATGCACACTTTACGAAGCTCCACGCTTCTGACACGGCCGAGCCGGTTCTTTCTCCCAGCGTTGAGCCGTCGTCGCCGCCGCCGCCCGTCGTGGCCGCGCCATGAGACTGTCGCCCGAGACTACGGCAAACGCGGCGTCGCCTTGCCGCCCAAACTCACCTGCCCAGACGGCAGCTCGATGTTGACCTCAAAGGCAACGTCGGTAAACGAGAGTGACGAGCCAGACTGGATGGCAGGCGTGATATCGACGTCGACCTCAATCGATGACCGACGCTCAAGCACCTTGACAAGGAGCCCTGCCACGGCCACATAGTCGCCGACGGCAACGGCGGAAAAGACCTCGGACGGCGCACGGATCCGGAGCCGCGACGAAGACTCCCAATTGGCTTCGGCGACCACCACGTTGGCAAGCCGCCCGGTGAGGACTGGCTGCTCGCGAACCCCGCGAGCGCCACGCGCTGACATCGGCTGCAGCGCTGTGCCGACGCGCGCTCCGCTAAACGCGGCCGCGCCGCGCAGCGACCACACCGTGTCCTGATTCCAGACTTGGTGCTTGAGAAAGACAAGGAGCGGCTCGACAAGAAAGAGCGAAACAGCAGCCGAGGAGCCAAACGACACGAGCGAGTACATCGCTGTCCCCGACGCTTGCACAAAAAGGACCAGCGCCACGTTGGCACCGATGGTCAGCACGCTCACCACGCACCCGCCAACAAAGAATGCGGTCGATTTCGGGTGCCGGGGCGGCGGACTCAGCTCGCCGCTCTCATGCCCCAGCGCCGTCTGCAGAGGGTCACCCCACTCGCGGCGCATGCCCCATGAGACCAGCGTCACGCCCATCACCGCAGACAGCGTCGTCGACAGCGCCGCCGCAAGTGCAGCTTCCTGCACACGATCGCTGGTCGATGACGTGTAGTGGAGGTGCTCGTTGTTGAGGTACACCACAATCTGCGACGTCATGTACATGATCGAGAGCGTGTGGATGAGGGTAACAACCCGTGCTGCACGCGAGAACGGATCACCGGCTTCATGCACAAAGATGCCGCACACAGAGTGGTCGCGCACCAGCTTGGTCAAGTACCGCACACGGACGTAGAACGGCGACCGCGACGTCGAGCTGCGCGCCCGTTGCACGCATGTCACAATGGCAAGCAGCAGCCCCGCCGCCACCCATACATAGGCAGACAGCACAGCCGGCGACGCGGCAACGCTGGCCTTTGCCGCCGCTGCCGATTCCTGGGTTCCTCTTGCGGTTGTCGTCATCGAGCAGTCAGGCAGCTGCCATCCTAGTTCACACTGGCACAGATTCGGGCCGACGCAGCGGCCGTGTCCCGTGTCCTCGGAGCATCCGCCAAAGCAGACATCAGCCACGACAAAGTCGTAGTGGGCATAGTTGTCGGCGTTGGAAATGTTGACCACGTTGACGTAGACAAGTCGACCTTCGGACGACATGGAGACAACCTGTGCCGGTGCCACAAGACCCGAGGCGATGCCGACAGGGATTTCTGGCTCAAACGAGAGTAGCCCCGCTGGAAGGCTCTCTGTGGCGTTGACCCAAGCGCCACTGGCGTCCCGCTCAAAAGCAAGAAACACGTTTGCGGAAAGCTCGCTCGGGCTCGCCAGCGGACACGAAAGCAAAAGCATGCCATCGCCGGCGGCCAATGCAAATGGGCAGTAAAAGCCAGCGACCTCGATGTGCGCTACCATTGCGCCGCGCTGGTCATTGTGCCAATCGTGGATGACGAGGACACCGCCGTCAGCCGCGGAGAACCGCGTGATGTAGGCGAAAAAGTCGTCGCCACAGACCGTCGGCATGTAGTCTGCCGAGTCGTAGATGTTGGCAGCAAGAACGCTTGTCGTCCACGCGCCGCTTCCGCCGACGCGCTCCATGACCATGACATTGGAGCCATCAGGCGATGCGGCGTCGGGAGCTTCACCAATCGAAACCATTCTGTTGCCCACAAAGCACGCAAAGGTTCCGGTCTCGTTGACTGGCTGAGGCACGACATCGATCCGCGTCGCGGTCGGCGGGCTGCCTTGAATGGCCATGACGTCAAAGTCCATGGCGGCATGTGTGTCATTGTTGATCGTCACCACAAACTCGAGGCAGCTGCGGTTGGCGGCGAGGGCCGTGCCCCAGCTCTGTCCCCACAGCCGGTCCTGCGGAGTCTCGACGTACACTCCGGTCGCGGTCACTGATTCGGCCGTCTCACCGTATGCAATGTCGACAATAGCAACCCCGCCGTTGTGGTCCGCATGGCCCAACGAAGAGAGAATCATCCGCCGGCCATCGCACACCACTGCTTTGGTGAACTCGTCCAGCGGCGGGACAAGCGCATCGTCGTAGATGGCAAACGCAATGTCGAGCTTGTAGCTTGCTGGCTCGCTGACGGCCAATTGACGCGTCTCCGCAATTGTCGGCAGCAGCACTGTGTACACGCCGTACTCTTCCATGGCGATGGCCAGCAGGCCGCCGTCGGCAGCGAGCATGCCAGGTAGAATGTTCTGGCCAAGAGCAGGATCATTGCCGATCCAATCCGGCATAGGCACCGATGCCACCTGCGCAATACTGAAGCCTGCGCCATCAACCATGCACGCCATTGCCAGCATGCCCACCACAGCCACCATGAGCGAGCCAACTATCGGGGCGGGCGCCATGGCCCTGTTCGAACGGGGGAAGGGGGGGGGTGGGCAACAAGGAGGGAAGGGAGGGGAAGGGGGGGATGAGGGAGGGGATTAGGTATGCGGGTGGGTGGGTGCTGTGAGGCTGTGTGAGAGCGGTGGTAGGTAGGGGGTAGGGGGGGTAGAGGCAGGAGTGGGCATGGCTGGCACCCGTGTCAGCGTGGGTGGTTTGATGGAACGTCTGCCAATGCCATCAGCAGGATAATTCGCCGTCCAAACACAGTCAGCCTCATTCGCCCGTTCGTTGACCAATCTCTCTCTCATGTCGCTCCCGGCCGGTGCCTCGCGCGCCCTGGACGAGGTCGATGCGGCGCTTGCCCAGGTCGAAGCCACCATGCAACCGCTGCTGGAGAAGCCGCTCGAGGAGGTGATGGAGAACCTGGACAATGCCGACAAGGCCAAGCTCAACGTCGCCCTCGCATACTCGCTCAACTCGCTCTTCCACAGTACGCCCCTTCTCCCCCCTTGCCTGCCCACCAACACCCTGCTGCAGGATGGCCCTGGATGGCCCACGGACGGATCCCCTCCCCTGCCCCCCTTCTCCCCTCTTCCCCACTCACACCGCCCGCCTCACCCGGTCTACAGTCTACCTCAAGACACAGGGCCAGGACCCGTCCGCACACCCGGTTGCGGACGAGCTTGCCCGGGTCAAGTCGTACGTGCACAAGCTGGAGGTCCATGCCGCCGTTCGTGAGGGCCAGAAGGCCTCAATGCGGGCCGCCGGCGACGTGGTGGCCGCAGGCGCAGGGGACGTGGCCCCCATGGAGGTGGCGGCGGCCGCTGCGGCCGCGCCGGGCTCCAAGCGGAAGGGCCGTGACGCTGATGATGGTGACGCAGAGGCTGGCGACGCCCACGCCGCAAAGAAGGCCAAGGCCAAGAGCAAGGGCAAGTCGAAGAAGGACAAGTCCAAGAAGAAGTCCAAGAAGTCCAGGCACTGATGGTCCTCGCCTGCCCACGCAAGTCTCTTCTCCGTTCTTGCTCCCTTTACTCGTTAAACACCACCCGGTGGATGGTCCCGTCGTCGAGCCCGACGTACGCCGCGCCGCCGACCACCGCCAGCGCAGTGACGTCGGCGCCGAGGTCGAGCTGTGCGCCCTGCTCGGCACCCGAGCCCAACGCCCACATCTGGAGGTGCGTGCCTGCGCTGCAGAGCAGAGTCTTTCCATCGCACGCCACCGCGCGCACCGGCTCGCTAACATCGGTCTCAAACACGACTACGCCAGTCCGCGCCTCGGTCACGCGAGCCGTCCCGCCATCGTCGCCGGACACCACCCACGCGCTGTGGTCGGAAAAGCCAAGTGCGGTCACCTCGCCGTCATGGTCCGGCAAGTACTCGACTGCCCGACGCGTGCCGGCGTCCCACACCACGATGGCTCCGTCGGACGAGGCCGTCGCAAACAGGCTCGAATCGGGAGCGATGGCCATGACCTTAACCGCCTCGTCGTGCTCCTGCATCTCGGCCACGGGCACAGGTGAGAACTGGCGTTGCGCGTCGACTTGCGCTCCCACACCTTGACCGTCGAGTCCCACGAGGTCGAGACCAGCGTCAGCTCGTCGACCATGACCACGCCCGACACCGCCGCGTCGTGCGACTCGAGCTTGGCAGAGATCGACCCATACTCGATCGAGTAAGCGTACACTGCGTTGTCCCACCCGCCCACCACAAAAGTGTCGCCACTGGCGTCCAGTGCAGTCACCGACGACAGTGCCAGCGAGCTCGGCGCCACCGCCCGCACCTGCCGGTTTTCCGGCATGGCGTACACCCGTAGATAGCCGTCGAGCGAAACAGACGTGATGCGAGCCCCATCGTCGCTGACCACCAGGCCGGTCACGGCACCCTTGTGGGCTGCAATCGGGCCCCAGGCCGTGTCCTCAACAAGGCTTCCCACCTCGCCCCATCCACAGGAACTCGCTGCGCTGTCTGGCGCGCCGGCAACGGGACTGGCGTTGACTGTCGATGCTCCGCCGTCGCCTCCGGCAGCCTCGCTCCCGCTGGTCGGCAGTGCGCTGATCGCGGGGAGCCCGATACCTAGCGGGCTTGCAACTGCGCCGCGCCGCGGATGTGGGCGGGTGAACAGCTGCGTCGGCGTTTGGCCAAACTCGGAGATCTGCAACTCGATGGCCTTGCGCTCGAGCGGATCGGCGATGGCTTCGATGTCAACCGCGCCCTCGTACGTGAGGTAGTAAAAGACGTTATCGGCTGCGTCGGCGGCAGCGCCGCGCTGCTTGTGGCCAAACACAAGGTCGATCCACTCGTGGAGGTGATCCGAGACATACTTCGACTCGAGCGCGGAGCGGAGCTTGGTCACAAAATCGGCTGCATCGCTCGCCCACGGCGGGAGCTCGACGTCGTGGACCCGCTCGCCCGAGCCCTGACAGACGCCAAAGTCGATGCCTGCCGTGTTGCGAAGAAAGCTTCCGTCGCCAGCGTAGAACTCGGGAATAAGCTCCTTGACATCGCCGGTCGAGTGGAGGCAGTTGCGCCAGGTGGCGGCGACGCCGGTGAACAGCCGGTCCGGCGCGTCAAACTTGCCGTTCTGAAGCCGGAGCATGAGCGCAGGCTGAGAACGGACGAGGTAAAACAGCACATAGCCCGGTGTCGAGTAGTGGGTCCCATACAGGAACGGAGTGAGTGGGCCGGTCCCGTCGGCCGGCATCTGCTCAAACCGCTGGCGGAAGCCAGCGAGTCGGTCCGGGTTGAGCGCGCCGACCGGCTTGGACAGGTCACGGAACGTGGCCGGGTTGTCAAGGTCCAGCTCAGCCGAAGTGTAGTCGGCAACCACCCATGGGAAGACCGGATACTGGGCCAGGTCGTTGAACGACCGGTCGGCCATCGAGTTGAGGAACATGAGATACTCGTAGTTGGAGACAAGCCCGTTCTGCCACCGCAGCGTCATGTTGGCGGCAAACTCCTCTTGCTGCGATGCCACGCCGTCTTGTGCATACAGGGCCTCGAAGACAGCCTCGCGGTCGGCTCGCGACGAGAACGAGAACAGCATTGAGTCGCCAGAGGCCATGAAGATCTCTAGCCCAGTCGCCCGGAGTAGATGCCGCCGCCGGGCCACAGATCGGATGGCCGACCGGTCGTAGCTTGCCACAGGCTCGCCAGAGATGTTGTTAAAGGCCTGGAAATAGATTCGCGCCGTTGTGAGCACAAATCGGCCGGGGTTGTGCACCAGCGGCAACTCGTGGACTGCACGCATCTCCAGCTCGATCCGCTCGGAAAGCTCCTTGATCGACGAGTGATCAAAGGTCAACTTTGCCTCGCGGATGGCAATGAGCGAGTCCAGCCGGGCCTCGGCGCCAGCCACATCGAGCGTGCTGATCTCCAACAGATCCTGCAACCGCGGGAGAAAGGTCTCGAGCTCGGCGTAGCGAAGGGCAAAGGCAAAGTCAGCCCGGCCCTTGGTAAAGGTGTACGGCTTGATGACGTTGTCGCCGAGGAGAGTGATGGTGAGCGAGGTCTGAATGACAAAGATCGCCGCCAGTTCATCACTCGCCAGCCCGTGCCCGCCCAGTCCGCGGAACCGGGAGACGCCATGGACCTTTGCGAACGAGAGCTTGACCAGGGGATGGCTCACGTCCTCCGGTTCGAAGAAGAGCGAGGAGGAGCAGAGCCGGACGCGTCCACGAAGGCGGCTGAAGAGGGGGAAGGGGGGGGAGCGAGGCGAGGTGCGTACGTGGTGGGCGACGGCGGCAGCGAGGGGTAGTGGTAGGCGGCATAGTCGTCAAAGTAGTACTCGCCCTCCTCCAGGAGCAGCAGCGAGAAGCGCGACGAGGAGGCCGCCATTGCTGTTGCCTGTGGGAGTGAGGTGCAGAGGAGGGGAGGGGGGGGAGGGGGGGCCAGGGGGAGGGGGAACGGGGGAGGGGCGATTGGTTGGTGGGCGGTCGAGGGCATGCGGTCGGCCGACGGGCCGAAACGGGTCGAGGAGACGGGGGGGAGGCGGATGGTTGGGCAGGGTGGACGAGCGGTCACACGACGCACACGGGTGATAGAGACGGGCGCGGCTGTTGGGGACGTGGCTGGTCTAGTGCTGACATGGCTGACGCAGGCGGTGCGTGGGGAAGCGGGGCAGAAGGGAGGGGCAAGGGCGGCGGAGCAGGTGGCGACGGCGGGGGGGAGAAGGGTTGGCTCTGCCGCAGACGCCGCCGAAAGCACAGCAGCAGGCGCAAGGACAAGCAGGGCTGGTGAGGACACCGACTGGAGGACGCAATGTCGCGCCGGCGCCCCGGCCGCTGCAGCCGATCTCGGAAGATCTGCTGCTGGCGCTCGAAATGTCGGCCGGCGAGGCCGCGGGGCAAGTGGCGGTCCTGCTCGCTGCGGTCAAGGGCCATCTGGCGGAGAGCACGCGGGTGGCGCTGACATACGCGACAGCGCACGCTGAGGCTGTGGATCACATGGCTGGTGCGGTCGACGACGCCGTGGCAGCCGGCACTGAGCTGATGGCGGCGACGGCGCGGCTGAACGAGGACATGGCGCCCATCCATGCGCTGGCTGCGCACATCCGGACCATCAAGTCGCAGCTCGCGTCGCTTGAGAGCCAGGCCAACAAGATCAAGATCGAGCCGCGGTGAGCGGGTGGAAAGTGTGAAATAGATGTCTCTACAAAGTGGTGTATGTTAACCCTCAACCGTACGGTCGTTCGGACGCGTTGTCGCGCGTCTCAAAGTGAACAACTCGATGATGCTTGACTTCCAGGTCACCTGGCCGACGCTGCGCGACGCCTGCTTGGCCTGCGGCTGGAGGTGGGAGGCGTGCCTGCACGTGACGGCGGTGACGGACGCATGTCAGCATGGGCGAGGGGCGCGAGGTGCCGTACGGTGCCGATCCGGAGGAGCGGCGGGCGCCGACGGTGCGAAGCTTGTCGTTGACGACCCGACGACCGGGAAGGAGAGCATGACAGAGTTGAACACAGCGACCGGACAGGAGAGCGAGAGGACGTTGTGGATCTTCTTGCGACGGACGAGCTTGCCGGTCGGCGTGGCTGCGCAAGTGGTGGCACGCCATCCTGTACTGGATTCTGGACGCCGCGCTCATCAACGCGTACGCGCTCTGCGCCGCCGCGAGCCCGCGCCCCGCCATGACTCGCGTGGCTATCATCGACGCCCTCTTGCCGCCAGCGCCGACGCCGTCAACTCCGCGCCGTCGCACAAGCGGAAGCGACCCTCTGCAGCAGCTGCTCGTCAGCACCGCTTTCCCCAACAAGCCGCTCTGCGACGCGGCTGCCTCGCCTGCCGGAAGTTTCATGGTAAGCGATCGCGGCCGCGGACCTTGTGCGCCGCGTGCGGCGTCGATCTCTGCATCGCCGTCTGTTTTCTGTTGTGGCCCACCAGTGCCCACGGCAGCCATTAACACATTGTACTGCTCTTTTACCGCGATTGATGGACGTGGCGACGTCTGTGGAGCGTCGCGGAGCGCCGCGGCTTGCGCGATGGACAAAGATGTCCAGTACCGTAGGGTGTTGTTAAAGGGGAAAAAGACAGGGTGCTCTGCAGGGAGCGGCAACGCTACACTCACTCGATGCGGAGCTTGTGGACCGCCTTGCGCATGGCGCGGCGGAAGTGCGGGCGGGCGTCCGAGGAGGTGCAGAGGTGGAGGGTGGTGCAGACCTGAGCGGCCGGCGTGCCCTTCTCGAGCTCGTCGAGGATGGCCGGGAGCGCGGTGTCGACCAGGAGCGAGCACTCGGGCTGGAACTTCTTGGGGAGAAGCACGCACGCCTTCTTGAGCTCGTCCTCGATCTGAGTGTTGTTGACGCTCTTGCCCGAGAGCATGGCCTCGGCAAGGCTGACAACATACTCGCAGATCTTGCAGGTCTCCGGGGAAGCCTCAATGTTGGCGATCGCCGACGAGCAGAGGCCGATGGTGGTGCAGAGCTGCTCGGGCGTCTCGTTGTCCTCAATGGCCTGGATGATCTGCGGCAGGTACTCCTCGACAATCGAGTCGCATGAGTCCTTCCACGGCGTCATGGCGCAGAGCTTCTCGAGCTCGGCAACAATCTGGGCCTGGGTGTTGTTCTTGGCGAGGTAGCCCTCGACAGCCTTGGCCACGAGCTCGCAGAGCGAGCACTCGAGGTCGAGCGGAGCCGCAACATCAACAGCAGCCGACGGCTTGCAGAAGCCGATCTTCTGGCAAGCGGTCTTCGGCGGGAGGTCGTCCTCGAGGTGCTGGATGAGCTCCGGGAGGTAGTTGTTGACAAGCGCAGTGCAGGTCGAGGCCCACGACGCCGGGAGGAGCGCGCAGACCTTGCCGAGCTCGGTCTCAATGATCTCGATGGTGTGGTTGTTCTCGAGAAGCTTCTCAAGCTCGCCAACAACAAGCTGGCAGATCGAGCAGTCGTCGAACGGAGCGGCAACGTCGGCAATCTCCGATGAGCAGAGGCCGATGGTGGTGCAGAGCTGCTCGGGCGTCTCGTTGCTCTCGATGGCCTCGATGATCTGCGGGAGGTACTCCTCGACAATCGAGTCGCACGAGTCCTTCCACGGGGTGTGAGCGCAGAGCTTCTCGAGCTCGGCCTCAATCTGGCCTCGGTGTTGTTCTTGGCGAGGTAGCCCTCGACAGCCCTTGAACAAGGAGCTCGCAGAGCGAGCACTCGACACCGCCGAACGACTGGTTTTTTTTTTTACAAAAGCTTGACGGGCGTAGCCGACGGCTTGCAGAAGCCGATCTCTGGCAAGCGGTCTTCGGCGGGAGGTCGTCCTCGAGGTGCTGGATGAGCTCCGGGAGGTAGTTGTTGACAAGCGCAGTGCAGGTCGAGGCCCACGACGCCGGGAGGAGCGCACAGACCTTGCCGAGCTCGGTCTCAATGATCTCGATGGTGTGGTTGTTCTCAAGCAGCTTCTCAAGCTCGCCAACAACAAGCTGGCAGATCGAGCAGTCGTCGAACGGAGCGGCAACGTCGGCAATCTCCGATGAGCAGAGGCCGATGGTGGTGCAGAGCTGCTCGGGCGTCTCGTTGCTCTCGATGGCCTCGATGATCTGCGGGAGGTACTCCTCGACAATCGAGTCGCACGAGTCCTTCCACGGGGTGTGAGCGCAGAGCTTCTCGAGCTCGGCCTCAATCTGGGCCTCGGTGTTGTTCTTGGCGAGGTAGCCCTCGACAGCCTTGAACAGGAGCTCGCAGAGCGAGCACTCGACACCGCCGAACGACTGGACGTCGTCGATGACAATCTTGACGGGCGTAGCCGACGGCTTGCAGAAGCCGATCTTCTGGCAAGCGGTCTGCGGCGGGAGGTCGTCCTCGAGGTGCTGGATGAGCTCCGGGAGGTAGTTGTTGACAAGCGCGGTGCAGGTCGAGGCCCACGACGCCGGGAGGAGCGCACAGACCTTGCCGAGCTCGGTCTCAATGATCTCGATGGTGTGGTTGTTCTCAAGCAGCTTCTCAAGCTCGCCAACAACAAGCTCGCAGATCGAGCAGTCGTCAAACGGAGCCTGGACCTTCATCGACGAGGAGCACAGGTGGAGGTTCTGGGTGCAGACCGTCGTCGGGTCAGCGTTGTTCTCGATGGCCTGGATGATGGCGGGGAGGTAGTTCTCAACCACATCCGTGCACTGGATCCCCAAACCGCATCGTGTGAGTCCACCGTGGCGCTCCCTCCTATGTCACGTGCCGGGCGACGCGTGCACAGCAGCAAAAAGTGAAATCCTGCAACAGCCACGGCCCACGACCCGCACGCCGCGTCTGTTACCGGCCACTTGGTCGGCATGTGGCTGAAGAGTCGAGCTCGCAAGGACAGGGTAGCGTCCAGGCTAAGTCTTGAACCCCTGGAGGTGGGCTAGCGAAGGGGGGCTCCCGTCGGTAGCTGGTGTCAATGCCCCAGGCCTAAAAAATCACCGCTTGGGGGCCCTCACACCCACAGGGGTGGCGAGGGGGGCTGGACGGACAACACGGGGGGATAACATGGAGGGGAGGGAAGATACCGAGGAGGTGGGGTGGGTGTGACCTTATAGGAGGCATTTGGGTGTCCATGGGGGGGGGGGGGGTCCGCGGGGGGCGTGCGCAGGGGGACAGGGTGGGGGAAATGTAGACTCGCGACGGCAACGTACCTCACCAGCCCAGGCCTTGGGCAGGTCCGAGCAGAGCTTCTCGAGCTCAGCCTCAATGGCGGCAACTGTGGAGTTGGAGGCGAGCAGGTGGTCGACGTAGTCGACAACAAGCTTGCAGATGGCACAGGGGATCTCGCTCTCGGGCTGGGCGACGCGCACCGGGGTGGCGACCGCCGAAGCGAGGATGGCGGCAACAACCGCAAGAACAATGAACGACTTCATAGTTGCGACAGGTGATAGACTGAAAGTTAGTTTTGCTGGGCAACTCTGGGTTGGGCTCCCTACCGCGATCGGCTTGCCGCGTCGGAGAACGACGCCACCTGGGCTTCAAGGTCGAGAACGTGCCGGGCGAGGGATTGCCGCAGGGCCTCGGCACTAGCGTCTGGCTTGGTAGAGGGTGCGTCTTGCGGGGGCTGCGTCGCTTGCGCCGCGGCGGCGGGTATGTTCGGCTCGGGTGCAAGCGGGGCAAGTGGCTGACGGATGTGGCGAAGCTCGAGCTCGAGCTCCGAGACGCGGATCTGCAGCTGGGCCGCAGCGTTGGAGCTCTCAGCACGCTCGGAGGCCAACAACCGCTTTGTATAGACGAGCTCGGCGTCCTTGTCGGCGAGAAGCTTGCGCAACGAGGCGGCAATGTCAAAAGCGGCGGCGAGGCGGTCGTCGACCGGCGGCGGCGCGGGATTGCGCGCACGGGCACGGACCGACGCCTTTTCGGCGCGCAGCGCAGTGAGCTCGGCCTTGGCAGCATCACGCTCGAGCATGAGTGCCTGCACAGAGCGCGAAGGGCGGGCGGGGCGCTGCGGGCGCGACGAATCCGCGAGTGCGTCCCGGGTCCGCCCCCACCAGTGAACCCACATGCCGAGGGCGAGGTTGCGAGTCCGTGCGCCTGCAAGCGCGGTGGCGGCATCCTCGCGGAGCGCGGCCAGCCGCTTGCCTGCAACCACCAGACGCCAGGCAAAGAAGGCCTTGTCCTTGGCACGGATGCGATCGGCAGCCGCTGCCGACGCCGACGCCGCCCACTTGCGGAAGAGCTTGGAAAGGTAAATACGGCGGGCAAGCGCTTCGCGCAGCGGCTGGATAACCAGACTAGGCGCGTTGAGGCGAGCGTTGAGAACAGAGATTCGGCGGGTGAGGACATCGACTTCGGCAGTCTTGTCGGCGGCAATGCGGGCTCCCTGGCGAGCGGCAGCCTCGACGTCGAGGGCAGCTTGCTGACTCGCGAGTACGAGCTCCTGCTCGGCACGCGCGCGAACCGAGACCAGCTCGGCGTGAAGGGCGGCAACCTCATCGGCAGCAGCTGAAGCAGCGGCGTCTGACGCGGATGTCGACGGTTGAGCAGCAAGCTGGTCACGGAGCCGCGAAATGATGGCGTCCTTCGTCCGAAGTACGGAGCGCAGGCCGCGGAGATCGGCAGCGAGCGCGTCAGCAGCCTTGGCGCGGGTCGCCTCTCCGCGGGCGGCAGCGAGTGCAGCCTCGGACTCGGCCAGTTGAACATCTTTGCTCCGCTCGGCGGCCCGGGCTTCGTCCAACTGAGCCTCTAAATCGGCAATACGGGTCCAAAGTGGGCCAGTCTCGTCGCGAATAGGGGCCGGCACTGCAGGTGCCAGTGCCGGCAACGGCGTGCGGGCCAGTGCAGCAGCCGCCTGCGATAGCTCGACGCGCGAGGCATCAAGCTGGGCCTCGAGTGCAGCAATCCGGTCCCAGAGCGGCTTGAGAGCCTCGTCGTCGTCGACCGTAGCCAATGCCGCTGCAGCTTGCGGTGCAGCAGTCATGCACAGTCGTGCGCGCGCAAGGTCAGCCGCAGTCGCCGCAAGCTCCGACTCACGGGTCGCCAACTGCGACTCAAGGGCAGATATGCGGTCCCACAGCGGCTTGGTGCGAGCCTCGCGGGTGAGCGCAGCACGCAGAGCCGCGATGAGTGCGTCCTTAGCATCCAGCTTCTCCTTGAGCGCAAGAATACGGTCGAGGTGGCTCGCCGACGTCGACGACGCCATCGCAAGGGCAGCGTGTGCGTCACGTGAACTGTGGGTCGGCCGTCCAGTTTCAGCATCTGAAAGCATTTCAAGCTCTGCTTCGAGCTCGGTCACGCGAGCAGAGGCAGCGGCAAGCTTGGTCTCGAGCTCGGGTGATCGGGAATCGGCAGGTGCGGTTGCAGCGGCCATGCACTCGGCTTCGGACTTGGTCGCCTGAGCATCTGCCGCAGCGAGCTTGGTCTCAAGCTCGGCCACGCGCGCAGAGGCAGCGGCAAGCTTGGTCTCGAGCTCGGGTGATCGGGAATCGGCAGGTGCGGTTGCAGCGGCCATGCACTCGGCTTCGGACTTGGTCGCCTGAGCATCTGCCGCAGCGAGCTTGGTCTCAAGCTCGGCCACGCGCGCAGAGGCAGCGGCAAGCTTGGTCTCGAGCTCGGGTGATCGGGAATCGGCAGGTGCGGTTGCAGCGGCCATGCGCTCGGCTTCGGACTTGGTCGCTTCAGCATCTGCCGCAGCGAGCTTGGTCTCAAGCTCGGCCACGCGCGCAGAGGCAGCGGCAAGCTTGGTCTCAAGCTCGGCCACGCGCGCAGAGGCAGCGGCAAGCTTGGTCTCGAGCTCGGCCACGCGATCGTCGGCCGCAGCAAGCTGTGCCTTGAGCTCCGCCAGTTGGGGGTCGGCAAGAGTTGCATGAGTCGCGAGCTGGGTCGCCTTGTCACCGACAAAAATCTGCTTGACATCAGCACCCGTGTCAAGCGCCGCAGCCTCGTGCATGCGGATCGAGGCTTCGCCCTCGAGCACACTGATGCGCGCATGCAAACGTTCGATCTCGGCCGTACACGCCGCATGCTGACCTGAGGCTGACTGAAATGCAAGATCCTCAATCTCGGCCTTCAGTCGCGTATTCTCTTCAGCGCACTGCTGTGAGATGTCTGTTGCAGCTGCAGCTTCGGCCTCGGCCTCGGCAAGAAGACCGGACAAGTCATCGATCTCAGCGTTCAACTGCTTCAGTTCGACACCGTATGCACTGCTGCGTTTCTCCAGTTCCGTCACGAGCTCCTTTTGCTCGTTTCGAGCAGCAGCGAGGTCTTCCTCTCGCATTGCCAGCATAGCCTCCAGCTTGGGCACCCGTTCTAGGGCTGACTCGGCCAGCGCCGCTGCTGCGATCTTGGCCATGAGCTCGACGACTTCGTCTTCACGACGCCGAAGCTCGGTCTCACGCGCATCCAAATCAGCTTCGAGCTCCGTGATGCGGTCGTTGAGGGCCGACGTGTCCAGCGCTGTTGCCAGCTGGACATTGGTCATCTCCAGATCTGCCTTGTACTTGCCGAGGTCAGCATCGCGGATCTCGAGCTCAGCTTCCAGCTCAGACACTCGCTCCTGAAAGGCGCACACGTGCTGGGCGCTTGCTTCGGGTGCATCATTCTCACTGAGGAGTACCTCCAGCTCGGCCACGCGTGACTTCCACGTCTCCAACTCGTCCATACCGGTGGATTCTTCGCGTTCGCCATCCCCATGCACCACATGTGCGCGCAACCCCAGAATGTCGTCATCCTGATTGGCTAGCTCCGCCTCGAGGGTAGCAATACGGTCGCGGAGCACGGAACTCTCACTTACCTCAGCATCTAGCTGTTCATGCAGCAACGCCAGCTCGGCATCGCGGTCGCGGCCTTCAGCTTCCTGCTCAGCCAGCCGCTTCTTGAGCACGACTGAAGTGGCAGCCTCGGTCCGAAGCCCGCAACTTCATCATCGCGCGCACGCAGATCACCCCGGCATGATGCCAGCTGCTGCTCAAGCATCGCAATCCGCGACTCGTACACTGCCACGTCGGTCGACTTGTTCTGCGCCGCCTCGGATGAGGCCTGGGCCCGCAGCCCCACAACCTCGTCCTCGCGCCCACGCAGATCGCCCCGGCATGATGCCAGCTGCTGCTCAAGCATCGCAATCCGCGACTCAAACGCCGCATTGTCGGTCGTCGCCGACACAGCCTCGGCAACTGCCAGCTGCGATCGGAGCCCCACAACCTCGTCCTCGCGCGCACGCAAGTCTCCCTCGCGCGCCGTGATCTGTTGCTCAAGCATCGCAATCCGCGACTCGTACACTGCCACGTCGGTCGACTTGCTCGGCGCCGCCTCGGATGAGGCCTGGGCCCGCAGAACCACAACCTCGTCCTCGCGCGCACGCAGATCGCCCCGGCATGATGCCAGCTGCTGCTCAAGCATCGCAATCCGCGACTCAAACGCCGCATTGTCGGTCGTCGCCGACACGGCCTCGGCAACTGCCAGCTGCGACCGCAGCCCCACAACCTCGTCCTCGCGCGCACGCAAGTCTCCCTCGCGCGCCGTGATCTGTTGCTCAAGCATCGCAATCCGCGACTCGTACACTGCCACGTCGGTCGACTTGCTCGGCGCCGCCTCGGATGAGGCCTGGGCCCGCAGAACC